AAATCTGTAGCTCATTCACAGTAATTACAGTGATGAGAGAAAAATGTTGTGTGCTGTGGTCTGAAATTTTCCATAAAAGTATTAAAATACATGGTGGAGAGCGTCAGTTAGGCTGGAACTTGATTTTGCTCTAAAGTACCTTGACAGAAAACAGTAAGCCCAAGAAAAATTTTGAAAACATTTTACCGGAGCAGACATTCGTATCTATGTCATGACCGAGTTTGAGACCGATTGCACGATATTTGTGGGCGTGACGGCGATTTCAAAATTTATTTGGGGTCAGAAATCCACTTCATTTTTCACTCTAGCGGAGCGGCAGTTGGTGGCAGTTATGCTCTGCATTTCGGCAGTTGGAAATTTCGCTCGTTTTTCGCTTTTTACGTCGCCGTCGTAACGCCGATTCCCCATAAAAGTAATAGCTCCAATGCCGGGAACGAGCCGCACGTTTTGATACCACTTTTGTGGGTGAGCTCGCAGCGGTGCGAGCCGCATTCCGGTCTACGGAAGAAAAATAAGATCTATAATAATAATAAAGAGGCATTCTATTGGGTGTAGAATAATAGGTGCCTGCCATGCAATGCATGGAGGCAGTGACTGACTTGCTTCGCAAGTCAGTCACTGCTCTCCTTATGCATTGCTATGGGCAGGCCCCAACTAGAAAATTCCTGAAGAAATTTAACCGGGGCCTGCCAAAGTGTGCCCGTCGATTTTGACCCATTGTTCTGATGCTAAACATTAGCATCCATGCTAAAGAAAGCTGCAATGTCATCAATACAATGTGGAGAGTCACAAGCATGTATAGTAATATGGGTATAACTAAGGGAAATAGCTAATACCTCATGCAAGGTAAAAGGCTAATGCTAATGCTCTGCCTTGCTGCGCAAGGCAGAGCCCTAACCTGAGTGGATAAGATCATGCAGGATAATTATTGCACTGCCTATGGCAGTGCACTGGTGGGAAACAGAGAAATGCTAATGTTTGTGCTAATGCTAATGCACTGTCTTGCTGCGCAAGACAGTGCCCTAACTTGAGAGGAAAAGATAATGCAAGCTAATATCATTGCAGCGCCTATGGCGCTGCATTAGCCAAGGCCGAATCTTAAGGCTTTTATTTTGAAATGTTCAGAATGTTTAATTTTAAATGGTCAATGTAATCCCATGTATAACAGTGATTTGGTTAAATCAGACATATAATGGTCAAAAGAGCACTGATTTAATCTAAAAATTCTCAAGGCTTTTATTTTGAAATTTTTTGAAGCTTAATTTAAAATTTCCACAATAATTCCATGTGTAACAATGTTGGTTAAAAATAGTTATAAAAGGCCAAAACACAAGCAGTTCTAAAGTCCAGCTTTTTTCTCTGAGTTCTGCCATAGTTAGAACTACAGTGATGCGTTTTTGTAGTCCTAATCAGCTGGCCCCTTTGTGTTCCGTTGCCATGGTAATGGATCCTCTGCCAGCTGTGAGTCAGACAGGGGGAGACTTAATTCTATCAGTTTGAGGCAGCCATTTTCCCTAAAATAGGCATGAGCCAGAAAGGAATCTTAAGGCTTTTATTTTGAAATTTTCATTGAGATTAATTTTAAATGGCCAATCTCATCCCATGTTTAACACTGATTGGGTTAAATCAGTTATATAGTGGTCAAAAGAGCAATTACTTGATGGAAAAATTGTCAAGGCTTTTATTTTGAAATTTACATTAAGCTTAATTTTAATGGTAACACTAATCCCATGTGTAACTATGGAGTTTTGAAATCAGTTCAAAAAATTCCCAAAAACCAAGTACTTGTCATGGCCAGCTGATTACTCCTCAGTAGTAACTGACAGTTCCGCCATGTTGTAGTTCTAACCTGCAGTTATTGTAGTTCTAAAGAGCAGCTCAGTCCTCCTCAGTAGTAACTGACAGTTCCACCATGTTGTAGTTTTTATATTCACCTATGACCTCTTCTGTAGGCACTGAGTGTTCTGCCATGTTGTAGTTCTAACCTTCAGGAATTGTAGTTCTAAAGAGGAGGTCAACTGTCATGTCAGTGTGACACACAAGGAGAGACTTAATTCTAAGTGCTTGAAGAAGTTAGTTTTTCTGACAGGCCTGAGAGAAATATTCAAGGTTTTATTTGAAATTTTCATTAAACTTCATTTTAAATGTCCAAAATAATCCAAAGTTTAACAGTGGTTATGTTAAAAAAGTCACATAATGCCAAGAGAGCAATTATGTGATATAAAAGAATCTCAGGGCTTTTATTTTGAAATTTTCATTAAGCTTAATTTAAAATGTCCACACACATACTGTGTGTAACAATGGTTGCATAAAATCAGTGATAAAAGCTCAAACACAATGTAATTCTAAAGGCCAGCTCATTCCTCCTCAGCAGTAACTGACAGTTCCGCCATGTTGTAGTTCTGACAATCAGCTCTGACTCTTTTGTAGGCACTGAGTGTTCCGCCATGTTGTAGTTCTAACCTGCAGTAATTGTAGTTCTAAAGAGGTCAACAGTCATGTGTGTGAGGCAGAGACAGATTTCTATCTTTGTGAGACAGCTCAGTCAGTTATAATGGAAAAAGCAGCCCGAACAACTCCTTGCCGTTCGGAAATCGTGATACGTATCGGAAAACCGTTTGAAGCGTATGAGAGAGCAATTTTTTGTCTCCGATAGTCCTGCAAATCAAATCTGTAGCTCATTCACAGTAATTACAGTGATGAGAGAAAAATGGTGTGCGTTGAGGTCTGAAATTTTCCAGAAAAGTATGAAAATACATGGTGGAGAGCGTCAGTTAGGCTGGAACTTGATTTTGCTCTAAAGCACCTTGACAGAAAACCGTAAGCCCTAGAAAAATTTCGAAAACATTTTACCGGAGCAGACATACGTATCGATGTCATGTCCGAGTTTCATACCGATAGCACGATATTTGTGGGCGTGACGGCGATTTCAAAATTTATTTGGGGTCAGAATCGCACTTCATTTTTCACTCTAGCAGAGCGGCAGTTGGTGGCAGTTATGCTCTGCGTTTCGGCAGTTGGAAATTTCGCTCGTTTTTCGCTTTTTACGTCGCCGTCGTAACGCCGATTCCCCATAAAAGTAATAGCTCCAATGCCGGGAACAAGCCGCACGTTTTGATACCACTTTTGTGGGTGGGCTCGCAGCGGTGCGACCCGCATTCCGGTCTACGGAAGAATAAGTTATAACTAGAAAATTCCTGAAGAAATTTAACCGGGGCCCTGCCAAAGTGTGCCCGTCGTTTGGACCAAGCGTTCTGATGCTAAACATTAGCATCCATGCTAAAGAAACCTGCAATGCCATCAATAGCACGTGGATAGTCACAAGCATGACTTACTGAGCATAGGTAATAAGGGAAATAGCTATTACCTATTTCATTTAAGGTAAAAGGCTAAAGCTAATGCTTTGCCTTGCTTGCACAGCAAGGTGTCAGACTGTCTTCAGTCTGACACCGTCTCAAAAGAGAAGTTCAGATCTCTTAAATTTAAAGACTTTTATGCTTCGAAGCCACATTTCCAAACTTCCGGTGGATGCCGCAGAAGATGGCATTGTTTGGCTCACCTTTATGTGTGAGCAGATTTTCATCGTCATAAACATCAACAAAGCTCATCACAGATCCTGGTTAACTGACAAACATCTCAGATCTGTTCTGAGAATTGCCACAACAAAACTAACTCCAGACTTTGATGCACTGGCAAAAAAGTGAGAACAACACTGTTCCCACTGAGATGTAAGTTTCTCTAGTGTGTTATGAAAAAAAAGCAACTCTAGCATTTACGCGCAGCAGCGATACAGTAGCTTAATTAACATGCCGCACATCGCTCTCAATTTAAAGATCCCTTTCTTTCATTGGGTAATAATATTGAAACGATTCTGTTTTAGTTCTGCTTGGTTCCACATGGTTATGTGTTATAAGTTACAATGTGTTCCTTATTGTTACATGTAGCGTTATTTACTTCCTCTGACTCAGCTGACTTCCACTCACACGTGATTGGTCTGTCATGACGGTGGGGGTGGGAGCAGCAGGGCGGTGTTCGGTTGCCAGTTACGCTGCTCTTATTCTTATTTCCAATAAACCCTGTTTGACGGGACTACAGCTGCAGTGTTGGCATCATTACAATATGTTCTGAAATATATACTTTGAAAGTGATTCCGTTTATCTATTTCCACTAAATGTTGATTTCTTTTAAATTTGCACCTTCAATTGTGTCTGTTTTTCCATACATTTCAATACCCAGGTTTAATAAATTACATTGTGTGTCCAAATGCTCCTGGCCTCTCTGTCAAATTACCCATTCTGGCCCGCTAGTCAAAAACTTTGCAAACCCCTGTGTTAGAGCCATTACAAATAAGCATGTGGAGAATCACAAGCATGTTGACTAACATGTTAAAATTAGTGTACAAGCTAAAATTAGCCAAAATGCTAATGTAAGCCTAAATACTATTAATATTATAATTCAATAATAACATTAAATTTTTTTTATTATTTTTTTCATTTTTCTTTGAAATCAAAAAAATATTTTTAAATGTATACATTAGTGACTATTGTCACTTAAGGCAAATGAATGTAGTTCATAATAGTGACAAAATTTTAAATGAAAAACCCACACACACAACAGATCACAGTTTAAAAATATATATTGAAGTCAAATTAAAGATTTCTACAAACTTTTTACAAGTAAAGATTACAATGAACCAAAATTACAACATTTAAAGAATACAATAAATTTCAGAACTTGATATCTCTGCAATAAAAACTATCTTTTTTTATTTACATGTGTCCTGTCCGGCCGTGTGGCACTCAGGGTTGTTGCCTGAGTGTCAATGTAAGGCCTGACAGATTTAATCTCACAAGTGAAACATGGCTTTGCCACGATGATCAACTTGTCATAAATATCAAACTATTATACATATATACATACATGAAACATATATTAAACTATATTCTTACATGAAACTATTTTAAATATATACATACATAAAAACTATTTACAACTGTAGAAAAAAAAAGAAGAAAAAACAACCGCTGCTCCAAAGCTTTCATTTGGGATCCAGTCTATGTGACATCACAGACTCTGTAGTAAAAATACAGAAAAAAAAAAATTAATATTCATGACATTTTTAAACATCTGTAAAATTTAAACTTTGTTTAAATAAAGATTTCAGAATGATTAACAGATATAAATACCAATATGACCCAAGAAAAAAGGTCATACATCCACTGGATTCCTCCTATCAAACCTAGATATACAACGTTATCAATCTCAACTTAAAATAAACCAAATTGGCAAATAAATTAGCCTTCATTTGTTATGTACTTACCTGGTCAGATTGTCCCACCTGGAACATTCAAAGAAACAAGAACTCCATCTCCTCAGATTGTATGAGGCCCAAGTCCATGAAGTAGGTGAGGATTTCCTGGACTGAAAACACACAAGTCATTCCATCAATAGACAGCTATTACCAACAACAAAAAAGTAACAACTTGTAAGGTTGCTACAACTTAGATACATTTTCTACATCTTATGGGCCAAACCTCAAGGTCTTGTTTCCTCTCTGTCTTCTTGGCAGCCTCCAAGGATCGTTTTACGTGGAAAACCCTGCAAGAACAGACTAAAACTGGGAGAACAAAGGGTTAATTCCACCAAAACCAAACAAATTCTGACCAGATGGAGGGAGTCCAACAGGACAAAAGTGAGCCAAACTTTTGTCCTGCTTGTGAAGTGAAGATAATGTAGCCACTGGGGGCTGCAGCATTAAAAAGTTCAGTGTGACTGAGGAGAGATTGAAACAAGGAGAGCTTTAATTAAGTGACGCAAACGGTGAAGAATAAAAACGTAGTTCCGCAAAAAATTTAGGCATATTTGAAGGGAAAAATTGATGTTAACTGTATTAGAAAAATTACGAAAACTTTATGGTCCCCATTTCAAATCATTTTAATTCAAATAGAACAGAATATACATATAGTAACTGATTGTCTTATCTACTGCTCCCTGGTGCAACATTTCCAGCAACTACTCTGACAGTGAACCGATAAGTGTTCAAGATCAGCCACTTTCGTATTCACAAAGCTCAAACAGTTTCATGTGCAAGTACAAAACCTGTTTATGAAGCCTCTTCTACAGAAGTAAATAAGTTTTGAAAAGATTCACTAAGTGTACAAGAATCTCTTATGCCGACAACAAAATCCACAAGCATACACCATAATTCAGAAATGTGTACAATGAATAAATACATATCAAATCCACTGCAACAATGATCAAGAAAATCGATCCACGCTATCATAATTACAAAAGCAAACAGTCAAATGAAATGACATTAAAAACGACTAGAGATTCCAACATTTTCTCCAAAAAGAATTTCATATCATGATTTCAGGGTTAAGATGTACAGTGCTTACAAAGTAATCATACCCCTTGAACTGTTCCATATTGTTACATTGCAACCACAAATATATTTCATCCAAATGTAATATGAAAGACCCATGACGTAGAACCCTTATGATTAAGTGAGACTGTTTGATTCAGTGTTCCCAGCCTTTGTTCAAAAAGGAGGACCGGGGGGTGTGATGTCTCCCTCGCAAGGTCTATTTGGGGTTCATGGAGAGGACGGTCCATCAGATAGCCGAAAGTCGGATTCGAGAAGAGCAGTGTGGTTTTTGCCCTGGTCATCTAACATTGGACCAGCTCTATAGCCTGAGCAGGGTCCTGGAGGGTGCATGGGAGTTCACCTAACTCCATGCAGGGTTTGGGTCTACAGATGTTTGTGGACATGGAGAAGAAGTTCGACTGTTTCCTTCGGGGAGCAAGGGGTGGGTTCTCTGGGAGTATGGGGTCCCGGGTCCTTTGATACAGGCTGTTAGGTCCCCATATGACCAGTGTCAGAGACTGGTGTGCATTGCCAGCAGAGTCAAGCTCGTTTCCTCGGCAAAATCCAACTCTAAGCAGAAATGAGCTTGACTTACTGCCAATAATGCAGACCACGTTCTGTAAGGTTGCACAGAAACCTTACAGCCCGTATCAAAGGACTTGGACACCATACTCCATGAGAACTCCCACAAAGTTCCCAGAGGGACCCTGTGAAAATGCCTTCTCAAAGTCCATAAAAACACATGTAGATTGTTTGGACGAACTCCCATGCATTCTCCAGTATCTTGATGACCCTCCTTTCCAGGACTCCAGAATAGACTCTACCAGGGAGGCTTAAAATATGACAGATTTTTTTGCAAATAAACTGAAAAGTTGTGTATTACTTAGTACAGGTGTGTCAAACTCATTTTTGTTTTGGGCCAAATCAAGATTATGAAAGCTCTTAAAGGGCCAGTTGTGCCAGAATGTGTTGATAAAGCCTGTTCACAAACTGTTAATATGTCAATAAATTCTTAAAATTACATAATATTATTGAACTTCTTTGCAGTCCCTTCAGGAACTAATAATAAATTTACTCGCTGTATAAATCATGGACTATAATCATACATTAACTAAATTCTCAAGAAACTGGAGGGACTGATTGATATAAATTGGCAGTAAACAGATAAAAACTGCATTGATATGATTGATAATATAATATTTAATCACACTTAGTGTTAGTATAGTCTGTGGAGGGCCACATAAAAGCAACGGCGGGCCGGATTTGGCCCCCGGGCCTTGAGTTTGACACATGTGACTTAGTATATACCTGCAAAAATAAACAAATATTTCTCCTCTCCACTGTTTTTCCATAGTTGTGGTTGTAATCTGATAAAATATGGAAACTTAAAGGAACATGACTCCTTTTGCAAGCCACTGTAGATGCAACTTATACTGAAGCCAACACACAGTATGTAGGATTGTGGTAGCTGTAGTAAGTCTGCAAGACCTGATTTGACACAATATTCTGGATGGGAGATGTAAATATGATCAAGAAGAGTATGTTTTTCTGTGGTTGGATCAGAGATAAGTTGCATAAACCCTTTGGCTCTAAACAACTGATTGATGGCTTTTTTCCCAGGAGGAATAATGTCCTCATTAAAGTCTCCTAATACGACAACGGGATGAATAGCCATTGAATTCAGGCCAACCAAGAGGCTCTGCAGATTTCTTAAAAATGTTCCAAGATCATAACTTGGTGGCCTGTAAACTGTCGCGATGACTGCACTGATTGGGGTGTCCACTTTTACAACATTAAATTCAAGATCTGTAACCTCGTTAAAGAATCTCCGTTCCTGCGGTTGGAGAAGACTCCGGCAGTAAGTCGCTACTCCCCCACCCTCTTTGGTGGCAATGTCGACTCTGTTCGAGTAGGAGACATGTCTGTTCCGTGAAAAAAAAAGAATAGCCCTCCATTTGGCAGGAAGCTGGAACAGAAGATCCAAACAAATGAGTCTCCGTAAGGCATAAGATATCTGCCAACATGAGTTCATGATGTTGTTTCATGTCCTCAGAGTGACAGACAAGGCCTTCGACATTGTGGTGGACAATCGTTAATGTTGCACCCTGATGACCTGACTGAAAATGCAAGAGTGGTCTGGTGTGCAAAAAATGTTGCTGGTCTCATTGATTCCATCGCTGCTCTAATATTTTCATCAGCGTAGATCTTATTTTCATCGAAATCAATGATTTTAAGTCCTTCCAGGGAAGTTGTGCGACTGAGAGCTACATATGCCATACCAGGTTCAAAAATGCGCTTCAAAGAAATGACTGCAGACTTCATAGTCATTCCTTGGACTTTGTGTGCTGTACAACCAAAGGCTAACCTAATTGGAAATTGCCGTCGTACCACTCCCTTTACGCTACTCTGTTCCTCAAATCTCTCAATATAAACAAAGCCATCTGGTTTACCCCGAATCTTTTTTGTATGTCCAGCAAGAGGATTGTCCAATTTAAGTCCAATTAACTTACGCTAGTCTTTCCGTCTTTGGTACTGGTGACAATATCAGCTATGGTGCCAAATGTTCCATTCACAAGACCGTCCTCTACATCCAAGTTTCTTATAATCATTACTCTAAAACCCAAACCAGCCTGTATGTTGTTTAGACAAGTCTCGCTTGTTGCCCGCTATGCAACAGCCCAGGTTAATCATGTTTCCGGTCTTTGTAATTCTTTTGTAGTCCTCTGCCTGGATATCAACTGTTACTGCACCTAAAGAGGCCACAACTGCTGCATTATGGTGTGTCCACCTGTTTGTTTGTTGCAAAAATGTGTAGGACATCCATAGGACACTCTTTGGGCTCAGTAACAGCTTGAATCAAAAGAGTCTTGTCATCATCACTGAGCAAATTCGCTTTACCTTTAACTCTAATCCGATTCAGGAGCTCCGCAAATGCTCTGTCATCTTTCTGCCGCATGATTTCGGTCAGGCTGATCATCTGGAAATTTTCATTCCAGATATCAAGCATGCCGTCCTCGGCGACACAAAGAGGTTTTGCCCGTCCAAGGGGAGGAAGTTGGAAGAAGTCCCCCACAGCAAGAACAGAGACCCCACCCATGAACCTGTTGTTCCCCTTTATTTGTTGAAATCTCCAGTGAACATATGCAAGCAGGTCTTTGGAGACCATGGAGATTTCATCAATGATCAAGATTTCCACACTAGAAAGAACTGCCCTCACTTCATCCAATGAATTTCCAAGGCCTTTGTATGGTGGTTTTAAACTTTTGGGTAGTTTCAAGATGGAATGTAAAGTCTTCCCCGATATGTTGTACGCAGCAGTACCAGTAAAAGCTGTAAGAAGCACAGTGGGCTTGGACATGTCACCAATATCAAGAAGTCTAGGAAGCTGGCGCAAGAGCTTGGTTGCTTCCTGGTAAACACATTTGATTACATGAGATTTACCACAGCCAGCTCCTCCTGTCAAGAAATAAAAGAAAGGTTCTGGGTTGTCACCCCAGACGCGCTTCAGACACCAATCGCGAATGGTGTAAAACACGGATGCTTGAGTCTCGTTTAAACTCCTGTACATTTGTCTGATGAAATCAGGGCTCAATTTTGGAGCTTCAATTTTTGGCATGTCTCCAATATTGACATCAATTCGTAATCTGGAATAGGGTCTTGCTCTTCATCTTCTTCAAATGGTGGTCGCTCAGCAGCGCATTCTAAATTGTCTAATTCAACCTCTGGCGCAAAAGTGTTCCAAGCATTACGAACCGGTCCTTGCTTTTTCAATTCTTCCATAATTTTGTCAATTTTTTTACCCTGCCCTTCATACCTTTTGCGGTTGAAATCCACATACATTTTAGCCTGATATCTACCACGGAAACCGTTGTTGTAAAATGCTTCGTAGGTTGTGTGTTCCTCAGTTTTAAGGTCCTCATCTCTTCTGTGTGGACAATATAACTTTAGAAGCCGTCTATAAAATTTTTCGGGTGTTTTTTTCTCCGAGAAACGAGTAAATCTGATAACTGCAGGTTTGCCCATCGTTCTTTTCTGGATGAATCCTGCATCATTAAGTAGGGGAATTGCATTTGGCCCTTGAATTTGATTGCCATATAAAACGCGGTACTCTGATGCAAATTCTGCCAGGCACATGTGTTCAAATTCTAACGTTTCTGGTCTGTTTAGATATTTTTCCGGCAATCCTGTCATCCACACATTTTCCTCATCTGGAGACATGTTCACGAGTTTACTCATCGGAAGGCTCATTTTTACACCGTCTTCATCTGTTTGAAGAAAAAGAACACTACGCGAGGATTTTTGAGAGGTAGGCTACAAGTGCGCGCAACCGATTCTTGAGCACTAACCTCTCTCTGTTTTGAAT